AGTCCCTTCCCGCCCCAGCGGGCCCGGCCCGGCCCGGCCCGGCGCGGCCCCTCCCAGGCGGCAGCAGCAGGAGGAGCCTCCCCGCCACCGGCAGCCGCCGGGCTGAAGCGCAGGCAGGGCAGGGGGTGAGCCATGTCCCTGACGGGGCGGCGGCAGGAGGAAGAGGAGGAAGAAGAAGGGCCTGGGCCCGGTGCGGGGGATGGCGGAGGGGAGGAGGTGGTGCAGATCCGGCTGGGGGACAAGCGCTACCCGGTGTGCAAGAGGAAGCTGATCGAGCAGAGCGATTACTTCCGAGCCTTGTACCGCTCGGGCATGCGGGAGGCAGGGCAGGGCCAGGAGGAGCAGCTGCTGCGCGGGGGGCTGAGCGCCCTGGGGCTGGAGCTGGTCCTGGACTTCATCAACACCTCCTGCCTGGCCAGGCTGGAGCAGGAGGAGGGGGGCGAGGAGGAACCCCCTTTGCTGGAGGAGCTGGTGGAAGCCGCTTCCTACCTGCAGGTCACCCCCTTGCTCCGCCTGCTCCTCTCCCAGGTGAGGTTGGGCAACTGCTTCGAGCTGCACCGCCTGGCTCAGGTCTACGGCCTCCAGGACTTGCACGACGCCTGCCTAGACTTCATGGCCGCCCACTACCATCAGGTGCTGCGCAGGCCCGACGCCCGCCCGCATCTCCTCCTGCCCCACGCTCTCCAGCAGCACTTGAAGGAGAGGCGGATGAGGGGCACTGCCACCCTGGTGGCCATCGGGGACTTCATGGGTGCCTCCGCCCTGGGCCTGCCTCCAGGCCCTCACCCTCCGGTGGAAGCCCCCTGGTCGATGCTGAGGTACGACGAGGAGGTGCAGAGGTGGCTGCCCTTGGCCAACAACCTGCCCCCTGATCTGGTCAACGTCCGAGGCTACGGGTCGGCGATGCTGGACAACTACCTCTTCATCGTCGGGGGCTACAGGATCACCAGCCAAGAGATTTCAGCTGCCCACTGTTACAACCCTTGCCTGAACGAATGGAGTCAGCTGGCTTCGATGAACCAGAAGAGGTAACGCTCGCTCCCTGAAATACACGTGTGGCCATGTCTATATTGTCAAAATATTGAGTCATGTGGTGTTGCCTGGACCCGGCGTTCCGAGCAGTGATTCAGAGCCGTCTCTGTGCCGTGAGTCACCCCCGTCTCTCGCATCGTGCGGTGGGACGGACCGTGGTGCTGGGCCATGGCTGGGCAGGATGCCACCGCGCTGGCCTGGCCAACCTTGTCATCCCTCCGCAGCACGAGGCTGCTGCCTCTCTCCACCTTAGGGGCCCCCCTCTGCCTGGCGCAGGGAGCTGCTGGCAAGGGAAAGGGCTGTGGGGGACGGGACTTTATTGCCTAAATGGTGGTGGTTAAGGCCTCGTCTGGGGGAGAACATCAGCAGAGGAGGATCGTGCTGCGGCCCTCCACCACATGTGAGCACTCACCTCGGTGTGAAACGGTGGCGGGCTCCCACTTTTCCTCTAAATTGTATTAGACAAGGAGCCAGCCTCTCCAAACACCCGCCTCGCTGGCAGTAGAAGTTCTCTTTGAAATAACAAAGATTAAAAAAAAAAACCAAACAAAGATAAAATTCTTCTACTTTCTCTGTGGTATATTTCAACTCCAGTACTGTAAGTGACAAGTTTTCCTGCTCTTAGTGGGAAAGTACAGTCTTATCAGAGCTGGAGATGGCAGAAAAAAATTAATTGGAGCAGTCTGTTATTGGTTTGTAACTTTCATAAAAATCTGAATGTTTTGTAGGCCTGCATTTCAGTGGAATATTCACCAGAAAAACATCAGGAAGATTGTGAGAAGTTTCTCACTTTATAAGACTATATGGATCTGGGAATCATTCATCATTTTGTCTATTTTGCTCTTTTCCTTTATCCTTTTGAATTGCTTGTTTGACATTTATGTTTATATTCAGAAAAGTATTCAGAAACACTTTTATTATTTACATCTGAAAGAATAATAGAGATCTTAGCCTTGAGGAGGACCCAAGAAGAGACACCATCTCCCTGGCCAGGGTTATGGCTGCTTTACCTTAATGAGGCTGCAGAGTTATCAAAGCCTTTTCCTTCACTGAAACAAAATGTTTCTGTTATTCAATGGGAATTTCCTCATTGTTTCCATTTTAGAAAAAACGTTTTAATTTTTATCTTCTCTGTCTGAAAAAGAACAAGTAAGTAGGCCAGAATTTGCTGTAGAATGGAAATCCTCCATCCAGTAAATTCAGAGAGCATGCAGAGATGTAAATGCTTTGTATCTGGGTAGTAAAACTGCAGTCTCTATTCCAGACTCTAGCTCCTGACAGTTAAAACACCTCAAAACAGGGGTTTGACCTAAAATTAGTTCTTTCTCATTTCACCCTTTTTTTCCCCCATCCTGTATTGTTGTGAGGATTTCACTGAAATGATTGCCTCCATCGTCAGTCACCAGAATGGATCAGAAACATTTTTTTTTCAGTATTTTCAGCATTCAGTATTTCAGGCTCTTGGAACAACGTGAAAAACTTCATCTGTAAAATGAGTGTTTAGCTTTCAAACACTGCAGACACCTTTTCTTACGGAGATCTTTCTTAGAGACTGGGCCTGTAAGCAGTCTTCACTGAGGTGCCTGTGGGAACAGAGATGTTTTAGGGGGCTTTGCTTCGGCAGCCTTGCCTACGTGAGCACGACTGAGAGCACATCAGCCTCGGTAGAAAGGATGATGGGATCAGCCCACACAGTGTTTACTATGGAAAATAAACTTAAACGTAGAAGTCCCAGGTTGCTCAAGTTATGAGGTTTTGGCATTGATTTGTGTGATGTCTACATTATGTTTACATATTCTGTTAAGTGCAATGATTCTGCAGCATGGTGAGTGAGGGCTTCTTAAAAAATGCTTTTTAGAGGCCCTTTTTTCATCTTACGACCTGACAGGTCAAGCTCTAGATCAGTTTTGTTTCCCTCACGCTTTCCCCTTCTTCTAGGATACATAGTCATTATATCTGAAATAAACACATGGGTATTTTCTCCTTTATATTACTATTTACAGCTGCACCACCCTGCCAACTTAATCTTGAAGCCCACCACAGGTGACAGCAAAGTATTCCTTCGCGTAGAATTTCAGATTGGCCATTAACTGCAGAAAAGTAGCATGTAAATAGATATTTTTGGCATGGTCTCTATTCTTAGATTTCATGGCAGTTATTGCAGGTCAAAAAGAACCCAGTATTACATCTGCCCCTAGACTGAGGTAGCAGCAAGTATGTTGTTCCCTGAGTCATGGGAAGTTTTTTTCATGCTCTGATGATCCCTTCACAAAACATGTTTTTGACTTTAACGTCTTCATGTTAAATAACTCTGAAGTTATTAATTACTATTTTTTTCTATCTGATGTAACAGTTCAGCTCTCTGATGACCCGCATGACATTTTGTGGCCAGAATGCAAGAACAAGGGAGATTTTTAGGATCAGGGGTTTTGCTTTCAACACAAACAACACTGATGCCTGTCTGCTGCACAGATGGGTTGCAGTTAGATCTGCACTTTGCTCCGCATTGTATTTTTAGTTTGTTATGCTGTAGTAAAATAAGCAGGGCAGTTGCCCAGTGTTCTGCTTAGGAATTAGAGTCATGTGACTGCCCAGTTAGTTTATGTCAGCCGATACAATTGCATCCCATGGATGAATTTTTTACATACCTTGAGGGAGGGTTCTAGTTCCCATTGAAGTGGGTTTCACTTCACATGACAGAGTATCTGGATTTCATCTATATGAATGGATGCATATGTTGACCTCAAGGGAAGGCTGAGAAGTTATGGAAATAATTGTGCCAACTTGCTGTTGATATCAGTAGTTCTCTGCCCTCAACAAACCTCGTAAATTCGATGGTATTTTCATCTTAATTATTTCCATTATTGTAATATAGAATCCCAGGACGCTTGAATTCTCTCTATATAAATAGATGGAATAGTCCCAACTTATTTCTAAGTAGAAGACAAAATCTTTCAGATGTACACTGAATACTTAGAAGTCATTCTGGTTTAGGGTATAGCTGTTAGCTTTCTTTCTGGATATAGAGGTCTTATTTAGTTTCAAATGTGTTCACAATAGGTAAATCCTGCATATTATTCTTGCGATGCCCACATAAGCTTGAGAAAGTGTTATTTCCTATTTACGAATACACAAGGGAGATGATAGATAAAATAATTTGCTCAGGCTCACATAGGAAGCCTGTGACTGAGCCTAGAACTTTTCATCATCTGAGGGCTAAAATCTAGTACTGGTCACAAATTGTCCATAACCAATCACAGTTTCTAGATCTAGAGATATAACTGTACTAGGAGTAGTGTCCTCAGAGAATGACCTGGACTTTTTTTGTGGAAGAAACTTCATGTAAGAGTTGTCCATGACCACTTCTGGTCTTCAGGGACAGGAAGGTAACAGAGCACATTGGGGACTGTTAAGTATTGTCCTTGAATACCTTTCCATACTTTTCTTTAAATTGATGCTGTCAGCTGAAATTTGCTATTTAAAAATAACATAATCATAGGATTTCTACTGCATGTGCCAGTTACAGCTGTATATTCCACTTTTATTTTCCTTCAGAACCTTCCTACTCATGGCAGGTAAATCTTCCAGGCTTAGAAGACCCTTGTAAGCCCCTGGCTGGGATTATACACATGCACGTGGAACATGGTTTTTTGTGAGCAATCTGTGCCTGAACTGCTGCCACTCTGAGGATCTTACAAGAATATAGGAGAGGATGCTCCTGAGGAGTGGTAGTGATTCATCAAATCTTCTCTTTCTGTGATTTTTAATATTTATTTCACTTAAAATTCCTCTGTGTTGGGGAAAATAAACTTTTCAAAAATTTTAAAGTTAGAAATATTCATCATATTTATCACAAACGTATTACACGCTTCCAAAGCTAAATGTTGGATGCAGTGTGCTCTGCAGACTCCTATAAGGAATGCAGAAAAATAGTGGTTCCTGCAAAGAATGTAAAATGCTTTGGAACTGCTTTCATAACTCTGCTTTCATGATTCTTCGCCTCTGTCGCAAATGCTTTAACTCTGGAATAAAGAAGTCATCTGATTCGTGAAAAATTTTAAGGTTGAAGTTGATCATTTGTCAGGAAGGAACGACAGGTTCCAAGCCTCCTGTTGTACAGCAGGACAGAGCTTACCTTGCAAATACACGCCTGACTTGTTTGTGAAAGCCTCCAGCAATGTAGATCACAACCTCACAGAATCACAGAATCGGCTAGGTTGGAAAAGACCTTGAAGAACATCCAGTCCAACCATTAATCTAACATAGACAGTTCCCAACTCCACCAGATCCCTCAGTGTTGGGTCAGCCCGACTCTTCAACCCCTCCAGGGATCCCGGGGACTCCCCCCTGCCCTGGGCAGCCCATTCCAACGCCCAACAGCCCCTTCTGCACAGAAATCCTTCCTCAGAGCCAGCCTGACCCTGCCCGGGGCATCTTGAGGCCATTACTGCTGTTGCTTATTACTCGGTTAAAGAGACTTATCCCCAGTTTTCTGCAACCTCCTTCCTCCCAGGTAACTTGTTCCCATGTTTAGCCACCCCTCTGAACAGAAAGTTCTCTCTAATTACGCTGATGTTTTCTCGTTGTGTACTAAATGACTGGTACTTGTCAGCTAACAAGAAGAATGCTTGCTGTCCTCTTCAGAGCCACTTTCATAGTGGTCTCCTACAGATACCTCTATGGCTGTTAATGCAATCCAAGACAATGTCACGGTTTTTGCAAGTTGTTGAATATTGTATTCAGGAAGCTATGCTCTCTGACCCCTTGATCCTTTGCATTTGTGAGTTATATTTTATTTCCTCTGTGCATATAGTGGTTTGCACTTGTCTTTATGGCATGAAAAATGTATTTTGAACTATGGTAACACCCCACTGCTCTCTCTTTCTTCTGTTCCTGGGGTTCCTTTCAGAGGAAACGAGGGACATCAGAAGACAGCTCGTACCTGTGCTTGTCCCATCAAGCAGAGTATGCACTAGGCCGGGCATTTGGAAAGTACTTTTGATCCCCCAAGTTTCGATAACTCACTGGTGTGAGTGGAGTTCTATCGCAGTTGAATCCGACAGACTCCACTGTTTCCAAGCTGTAGTCCATGGAACACTTGTTAATTGTGGAGAGCTGGCTGGTTGCTCAGTGTTTGCTTTCCTTGTTTCCAGCTGCTCCAACACATTAAAAGAGTGTAAAAATACACTAAATATTTCCTAATGTTCCCTCTCCACAAAAACACCTGCTGTTATTGGCATGGAAAGGTGAATGGCAGAAGTTTTTCATAACATGTTGAGCCATTGTCCAAACTTTCATATAAAGTGTGCTGATGGATACTTAGAGCTACTTTTGAGTAAAATGATCCTTATAGTTAATGTGTTCCATAAATCTGAGATACTTCCACTGAATGTCATCCATTTTAACAAGTGTTGGAAGTGGTTAAATGACTGACACAAATGTACGTGGCCTCCTTTTAGAATAATTGAAGTTGAAAGTTGTGCCGTATATCTTTCACCAGATAGTTTTCCCTGGGCTGCAAGAAACAATTCAGTGATGCAAAAGCCATCAAAACCTGCATGAATTACCTCCATTCAGACAAAACAGTAAGAGGCTACAATTAGAGAGTAACTAGAGAAGCATGTGTGAGTTAGGAAACCTGAATTCTTTAAAGTTCTGACACTACACACTGGTTTAGTTAATTCACGTCCTCTGTGGCAGAACTTTTAGCATGTTTAAAAAGTGGCCAGAAGATCTTAGAATAGGGAAACGTGATCTGTGTACATGTCAACTCATTTTATAAGCCAAAAATACTGCACCATCTCCGTCATAGGCACAGAGTTACAGACTTTCTAACGTACTTTAGATTTTAAATGATTGCTTGGAAAATGCGTTTACATTTTGTGGTTTTGTCCCTTTGTTAATTTGTGGATTTTTTTTTTTTCCACCATAACTTTTAGAACAGGTACATTGCTTTGAAAATCATAATGTTTTGCAAGTAATTATCCTCATTTCATACCCACTGTTGATTGCCATGTTATTCTGGATTCTCTAAGATGGAAAACATAATTGCTGTAGAGAGGAGATGAACAGAGTGAAAAAAAAAAAAAAAAAAAAAGAACAAAAAGCAATTAATTCCTTCAAAGGAGCATTTTAGTTTCCAAAGCTATATCAGGATGACAAGAACAAAATGATTCCATCTGGAAACGAATTCTTTTTCCAAACATATTTAATAAAAAGAAATTGCAGGGCAGTCTGCTGCTAGGCAGGGTTCATTTTGTCCAGACAAAACCCTGCAAAACTACTTAGCGGTAAGTTTTGAATCTTGGATTCATGCGAAGTGAAACTCACTTTACTGCTCAGCAGGCCAGTGCAGGTCTAAAGAACCACTTCAGTCTTACAGACATAATGCAATTCCCTGTTTAGCTTTACGCTGAGCTGGTGTGCTCCAGTGACTTTCACACATCGAGTTAGTTGGGATACTGCATGGTAAAATCTCAATTTGTCTCAACAGTCAAGAAGGAACAAACTTTCTAGGGAACAAGACTGTTTCTGAGGAGAGGGAGAGCTCGGCTTTGTTAGACCAGCTCTCAGAGCTGGAAGGAATAGCTGAGCATGCAAGCCCTCTATCTTCAAGTCCTCTAGTTTCTTCCTACAGACTTCCACCTTTAATATCCATAAACCGTTCGTTTCTGCCTGTATATCTTAAAAGTATAAGATACAAGGCTTCCTGCGCTTCAGTAATTAGAAAGTTGTCCTTTGCCATGTGTGAAGTGTAACAGCACAATGGAACAGAGTAAGAAATAAAAGAACAGGGTGTTGCCTGTGGAGTACAATGTATTTTTCTCAGCTATGGGTGGAGCATTAATTTACAGATACATCTTGCTTCAGTGGAATGGAGAATGTATTTACTAGTTTAATGCTGGATAAGGTAAAGCAGATTCTCTCTTCCTTCCTTTGCAGAACATGATTCAATGTGCACCACTTTAAATTTCTCTTTATTAGGGTTGTTAAAGAGATTCTATACTACAGACTAAGATGAGTACACATTCTTAGGCATCCATCAAGTCTTGTTTGAAATTTCTGCGATTTTAACTAAAATAATATCCTTGTCTGTGTGTATATATATAATATGTTTTTTCTCTACTAAATGTACTTTACTAAAAATGAGACTTCTACTGAACACATTAGTTAACTAAACATCTAGAGCTCAGACTGTGACAGATTGAAATCCAAAATATTCATCAGTCTCAGCATCAACATCATTAATATCCAGCGTGTCACTGGTTACTATCCTAAGAAATTACAGTGTAATTACAGAATTTTGGCTTTGCACAGCAGAGTTCAAATAGATGAAGTGGTGGTACAAGTTGAAAGTGATGATGAGGATGTTGGAGCCTGGATAGGAAGAACTTTCTTTCCTGTGCTTTTCTATACATCTATGCAACCTACTTCAGTGCTGCAATCTTTTCTTTCAGGTCCAATTTTAAGCTTTTGGCTGTAAATGGAAAGCTCTATGCCATCGGTGGTCAATCCCTTTCCAACGTGGAGTGCTATAACCCAGAAAACGACTGGTGGAATTTTGTGGCATCCATGCCAAACCCTCTTGCAGAATTCTCAGCTTGCGAATGCAAGGGCAAGATCTACGTTATTGGAGGATACACTACACGAGGTAGAAAGCTTGCTCTTACTTTTTTTGTTTTTAATCTGATTGCTTCTAAGGCCCAGATAATTTTCTTCTCTTTTTCAAGAAATCTTCTGAACTGACGTAGAAAGCTGAATAATCCTCATTAAAATGTGTAAAAATTAATCACTGGTAGGAAATAATTGACAAATGAAACAACGAAAAAAAAGACCTCTCTCATAGAGGACTCAGATACTATTTTTTTAGGGCCTGTCTGGACCTGGGACTCTTGTTCAGAGGGAAGAGACTGATGGGTACTTCAGCACCCAGCTTAGCCCTCCTTTTTTCAGATTTTGATCACACAGTAGAAAGAGAGGTCTCAAGAAAAAATACTTTGTTTACCTTTTAAATGCCTGATTTAGACTGTCAAAAGGAAAAATATGAAGAAAATACCTGCCTGCATTAGTATTTTTCATGTATTAATAGATGTCATGGTCCTTCCGCTGTAGCATTTCAGTGTTTCACAGGCAAATTCAAGCTATAGTAAGATTTTCAGTGCTGAAATAATTTAATTGAATAATTAGTTAAAAGCTTAAGTATAAACCAACATTCTTTAAATAACCTCCTTTCTATACCCTGTTTTCTGAGGATACTGTACAGAGGGAAGGACTTGAAGTTGCATCCTCTCCTGAGAATGACTTTTTCTTTATCCAGTGGAAAAGCAAGCAGCTTAAAAGGAGCTCCCATTTGTTCATTCCTTAAGTACATAGTGCCATTTTCTGGGAGGAGTACCATTTCCTCAGAGTTTTAGAAGTCAGATGTCTTTTTTCATGTCAAATATTCAGTATTTATCAAGATTTCCTAAATTTAAATTCCTGTCTCTAGGCCTTTCCCTACTTCATTTGACCACAATAGGTGTTTGTTTTTCTTTTTTGCAAATGGAGAATAAAATCAGGAGAGAGATCAGCTTTTACAGAGAGTACTGCAAGCAAAGCTAAACTGACATTAGAACAAGCTGTCCCTTCGAGTTTCTGAGCAGATTTTAGCTCTGCATCATTATAAGGTTTATAAAAGACACACTTCCACCCCTCATGGTCCTTGTGGTAATGATAACCTTCAAAAGCATTTTGTCAGGTCCGTTCTAACCCAGAACCTTGTGGCTTCACCGAGGAAAAAAAAAAATTAAAAAAAATTGGCATGCCTGTGTTCATACGGAGGGTCATGGTGGGGTGTGCTCTGCAGTCCCAGTCCTCTGGTCACCCCCAGTAAAGGACCTGTGGAGTGCATTGTGCTCCATGATGTCCAGCACAAGGACTGAAAGATGTCTGGCACACAACACTTGCTGTGTTGGAAAGTCAGACCCAAGAGGAAACATCCTTTGAGACAAGAATGCAGAAAACAGGGAGACTGACTGAAGCAGAGCAATGGGAAGACTTGTCTCTAGAGACAGGAGTTAGGGTTTTGTCTTTTTTATCTAGAGAAAGAGAAAAAAGAGGTAAGCAGAAAAAGCTCTAATTTGATAAGTAGTGCTACAAGACTGTGGGGGTACCAGCTTTTCTCCTACATCCCCTGCACTTTTCAAATTCCTTTCCTGGTGCTTGTCCTGTTCTTTCTTCAGGCTGCCTGCTCCTGATGTCATGGAGAGGGAGATCAGCGTGTTGCTGATACAGATCCTAGTCCCTTAAAAGTCATTAGCAGAGCGCGTGTAGTCAAGATTGCTGCCCTGTGTCAATTATTCCTCCTTATTCAGGAGTTATTACTTGTGGTTTCGACTGAAGGAGGACAGTCAGTGAGATACCTCTTGCTTCTTTCACACCTCAGGGGATCGCCACTGACCTTCAGGCCTCTGTCTTCTCCTAGATCTTCTCCTAGGTCTTTTCCTAAAAGCCATTTTTAGTGGATACAGGATAGTAAAACAGTATAAATTCATGAGCAGTGGATAACTAGCACATTTAGGCTTATGTTTAAATCCAAGACTAGTCAGGACAACAAATGCCTGTGCTTGTTATAAAGATCCTTTCCTGAACGAGGGTCCAGAATTAGGTCTTCTGTGACACCTTGGCTTAGGACAGCTATCAGAAACCAGAATTACTGTAATGACACCGGTGATTTACCTTCCAAGTTATGCAGATGTCGGAGAGTGTTAAGGCCCAACCACCTGATTCTGAGGTTCATTCTCTGTTTCACTACATTCACTACATAAAACACATACAGAAATTAACATGTACATTTTTATTTTATTTTCATTTTTAGTATTTCTAAATATACTTCAGTTTTGGCTAGGTTTTGTGGGCTAATTTTTGGATCTGTGTAGAGCTTTCTCCTTAGACTGCACTTTCCAAAAGATGATAAAATCTGGAATTTCCCACTGTAAATTATAATGATACTTCTTGAATCAAGACCCTCCTTCCAGTTCTCAGCTCCATCTTGTGAACATAGTTCCTAATAGTAACTCCATGTCAGGTGGTATAATATTCATGTTTTCTGTTGTTTGGAATTTTTTTCAGTGGATATCAAAGACTCAGGCTCCGGACTGAGCAAATGAGGGTCATATCACCATAGGCTTCCATTTCCTCTGCTCCCTCCCAAACCATAGCACTTTTTACCTGGGAAGATTGCTGCTATAGCTAGAGACAGAAACTTAATTGGGATTCCTGCCTCTTAATGAGTCAGAGAACCATACATTGCTTAAAGAAGAAGATCATCTATATGTAGAGCTTTGATCAGCAATTTCACAGAGTATTGCCATGATATTTCCCCTCTTTTTTCCTTTATTTACAGGGGATTAGGTATTCAAAAAGGCAATGCAAAGTAATAAACAATGACGGAAAATCACCAGAGTGCAAGCAAATGCTATAGCAGCACCTCCCTAATCATGCTGCCGATGCACTTCATTTATGACAATGCAGTTATATTTATGGCTGTTTATACCTGTGCCCTTACATAACTGGTCAGTATGTCACTGCTGTTCCACTTGGGAGCTCATCTGGAGATCGTCATGCAGGATAGACTTGTAATAGGGAGCAGATTGTATTAAAAGACCAGGCTGGAGTCTGCAAACCTGTTGCCACTTGTCACTTGAGTTTGGATTTAAGCTCAGGTCTCCAGAGATTGAAACTGAATTTACTAGCTAACACGTCCTGTGCATTCTGTGTTCATTTAGCAAAGCCTTGGACACAGCCTTGGTCTCCACTGCACTGTAAATCAGGGTGGTATTGTAACAGTTTCACAGAATAACAGTATTGCAAACACATGCATCCACTCAGTTGTAACTGAAGTATAGCCATGGCTTCAGCTTTTTTTCAGTGCCTCTGATGCCGGAGCACAGAATTCCTGCTTCTTAAATGATTTTGACATTGTGTGTTTCTCTCTTTATAGGGTACTGAACATGTGCCTTTAGGTCATCCATGCCACTTGCTGAAATGTAACTAGCTTTGTGAATTTTATTCCATAAAACTTTGATTTATGGAATGAAATGCAAAGTATCAGTTAAGCTTGGTTGATAAATCATCGCTTGACAGCGTACTCTCTTCCTGATAATTTGATTCATCTGTGATCACTGTTGGAGAGCAGAATATTGCTCCATTTCCCTTTTCATAAAATCTTCTTACATATCAATCGGAGACAAAATTAAAAGCATAACTAAAAAGTAGGGATTATTCTGCTAAAATCTGCATCCCCAGACCATTTACATCATTTAATGTGCCAGAAGTAGCTTAATTTTTTCCTCTGCAAAGGAACAGAACGTTCAGACTTTATTATCAAGGGCAGAGTTGCAGTTCTCAATAATCAATATTTCTTCCCTTGTCTGCTATGCTTTTGCACTGTAATACATTAAGAAATCTGTAATAACAGCTGATACAGTTTGTAGGGAGGAAGAATTCTCCTCCATGGATACCTTTTAATATATTTATTTATTTGTAAATATCTCTCCTCTGTTTCAGATAGGAATATGAACATTTTGCAGTACTGTCCCACTTCTGATTCCTGGACCAACTTTGAACTTTGTGATGTCCATGTTCGCAAACAACAGATGCTCTCTGTTGAAGAAACTATATACCTGGTAGGGGGTTGTATTCATGAACTTGGACCAAACCAAAAATCCAGCCAAAGTGAGGACGTGTTAACTGTGCAGTCTTACAACATTGCTACCAAAGAATGGCTCTACCTCAAAGAGAACACATCAAAATCGGGTCTTAACTTGACTTGCACTCTCCACAATGATGGAGTCTATATACTGAGTAGGGATATTACTCTATCTACAAGCTTGGAGCACCGTGTTTTCCTTAAGTATAATATATTTACAGACAGTTGGGAGTCACTAAGACGCTTTCCAGCCTTTGGACAAAACATGCTGATCTGTTCTATGTATTTGCCTGATGTACGAGAACTGTAACAGCATCAGGTATTTCTTTTCAGCTCATTAATCATTCTTGGAAGAAATATTGCTCCCTCTAAAGAATTCCATTTTCAGAATGTAATGTGTTTGCGGAACGTAGGCATAAAATACTGATTCAGTTATTTTAAAAAGTTGCAAAATCCAATATTAAGAGAAATGCTTCCAAAAACAGTTTTAAGATTTCAGTTTAAAAATTTTATTGTTTTTGATTAAAACTTCACCAAGTATTGTTTGCAGTTCAAACATAAACAATTTATGGTGCTTGGTACCTGATAAAGGAGTTCCAAAGGCAAAAGTGATCGGTCTAGTTTTTTTCTCCATCTTAATAGACAGTGTAGAAGATGAGCAAGAAGTGTACATGGTAAAAGTGGAAATAATGAAATAAAGTGAATAATAAGTATAATAAAAATCATAAAGCCAATGATTTCTTTTAAAATACAGTTTTTACTCAAATTATGTTCTGTCAAATGTACAATGTTAAAAATTGTTTCTACTATCGCATTTATATCTCTTCTACGGTAAGAAGTGAGATTCTCAAAGGTGCCAGCAATTGAGGTGCCATCAAGAAATGAGAACTTCCCCTGAACTCTTTGTAGTGAAATGCTTTTCCAGGGACGGGGAGGAGTTTCCCAGAGGCTTATGGTTGCTGGTTGGATACTAGATTCTCCTTTAATGGAAGTTGATTGCATTTATTGCTACGGTTAAGACAGAAGCAAATAGGCTCTAAATTCAAATGGACAAGTTTGCTCATCTTCAGAAAGGTTCTAAGTTTTAGTTACCGGGCTGTATTCTGTAGTACTGAGTCTTAATGATCAAATTATAATTGGCAACATGATGCACGTTAGGAAAATGTCCATGAGCACATGCAATGGTGACTCTGCACCAGGCCCATCCTGCCTGATAACAGCCATCCAGGACATCCATCTCTTGGTACAGGAGGGTTGATTTGTGTAAATGACCTCCTGTCAACACCACCCAAATCAGGTGCACATGAATGTTGGCTCTTTCTTGTGTTACCAGGAGCTCGACAGAGATTACCTGAAGCTTCCTGCCCAAACCTGTTAGACTCTACAAAGAGCACTGTGAGAGAAATGCTCCTTTGTGAGGATTCAGGAATAGATACTCTGGGAGCTTCTACCAGTTCCTGCCTATTGCCTGAGAGAACTGTAGTGATGATTGGCCCCTTTTCTTTTTGTAGCTGGCAAGTTCATACATGTTTTCTGAAGGCACCTGCCCAGGTATGAAATGTGTGTCAAGTAAAGGAGAAGGTCTTGGTCACCATGGGAAGGTTTCACTGCAGCTGTCTTTAGAGAAGAGGTAGCCGGGTTAGACATGTGCAAAACACATTGCAGGGATGCTGGTTCTGTACCAGCTTTTTCTCCACCTGAGAAGACAGGAGATTTAATTCACATGAACAGGTTCCAAATATGTGGAGATGTCTCTTTTTTTCTTCATTGGAATTCAGGAATCTGAATCTTCTTTTGTAGATGGATGCCTGTTGTACAGAGGAGGAGGAGGAGGCATCAGCGGTTCCCTCAAGGTCCTTTTAACTCCCTGCTTTTCCCTGGTTTTGAATGAAATCAGGGCTGACTAAAAGAGCCATGAGACTTGAAGTGCCAATGACTGCTCGCACATTCAGTCATTAGGTGCATAATTTTGGTGCTTCCAATCGTGCATAGCAACCCAAACAGAAAATCCCAGAAAATTCATCCAGAGTGAAGGCATTTGGGTTTGAACACTTTTCAGATACGGCTGGACATGAAGCAAAGTATTTTGAATGCCCAAGATTTACCTTTTGGGTGAAATATTCTCAGCCTGACAGAATATGTTATGCTTTGGCCCAAAGTAGTGTCTACCATTCAGCTGTATGCATGAATTTAATTAGTTAAGTCCACCTCTATGTGTTTGTGTTTATGCCTTTGAAAACACAATGCACTGAGCACCTGCTGTGTTTTGACAGCACTATCAGCCCAAACAGTGGCTCTTCTGCATGAGGAATAAGGTGGCTTTCATAAGAGTCTTCTTTTGGAAGTGTTTTAGAATAAATATAAGCAGTGTCACTGTCTGGTGATAAATTCTCTCAGTCACATTATTTTATTTGCTTTCCTTTGTTTCTTTTCGGTTCCAGATTCAGTGCCCTACAGTCATCCATAAGTCAACTCAGATCGAAACTGGTGGAAGAAGTCACATCTGAGTTGTGGTGTTCTCTTGCCACAGACTTAACTGTGAAAACCTGTCACTCTCAGGTTTGCAGTGTGGTATAGCTAATCAAGCCCTTCCAAACCTATTAATTTCTTAGTGCAGCTGTAATTCCAAAACGAGACAACATCATCTTTTAGGTGTGATTACTCTTTTTTCACAGGGGGCCTTTGCACACTGGGTTTATCTACGTGTTGGTTTCAGCTTCCAGTGATCCAAGTGGCCACCGTGAAAATCTGGAAAACCTGCTCAAACAGAGAAGAGAAAGATGGCTCAGACCATAAATACAGTCAGGCCCTTTTGTCAGTCCACGGTGGAATCTCATATACTGACTTCTCACAGCACTACAATCACAAATCAAAACCAGTGTTGAATTTAGTGGTAGCACCAGACGGTAATAATCTAACTGGACTGTATTACTACAGGCTGAAATAAATAGAAATTTTTAAAACAAAATTCATTACAGAAAAATATGCAATGTGGGTGGCCCTCACACCCCAGGAAAAAGCCCAAACACTGTAATGACTCTCTCATGCCCTTTTCATTTTCTTTCTATCACTTTAATGTTTCACATAAGGCACTGTTGGGCAGCTTCTGCCCTTTGGGGCAAGGAAAACTGGTTGAGAGTCACTAACAATAATTTAAAAGCTGCTTTTTAGCCAATGGAACTGTTGTTCAGTGATTCAGCGTGCTCTCTTTTCTCTGGTGGTGGGAGGGAAAAGGTCCTTAACTTAAGGACAAGTAAGTTTCTTTTGAATGACAGTGGTACAAGTGTGGATCAAGGGGCCTTGCAGTCCAATAAACTGGAAATTCTGATGTTATCCTGATGTTACTTCTAACTTACCGTGTGGACTTGGAGAGATCACTCCACCTTCTTGCTCCCCAAATGTAACACGTGAGTAGGAATGTTCATCTTGTGGGAACACAAATGCTTTGTCTGGTGTGGTAGGGTAGTGTTTGCAAGACATCTTGTGAAGAAGTCTTACATGTGAAGCATGTAAAGAAGTGCATGTGAAGAAGGACATATTCAGACCACTTCAGGATAGAAGGCAGCTAGCAATCTCATTGTGGTCTCTGCTAATTACTTGTATATTTTGAACTGATGGCTACTTCCAGTCTTTTTGTTTCTCTCTCTTTTTTTTTTTTGTACCTTACAGTTGATTTAAGTTTCTTGGTCTTGGTGTTCTTGAGTCTGTATCCAAATTCAAAACTGCTACTTTCCTGCTGTGTCTGGGTTATCCAGTGCCTACAGATCCACTATTCATCTTCTTTGTCTCGTGGACTGATTCCACTTGACACTGAGCAGCAAAAGGTGACTATGGTAGAAGATGATCCCAAGTCAAAAGAAAAAGCAACAGCCTCCAAAGTTCTGAGGGAGGAGTAAATGGAAAAGTCTGGGAACTTTGTCTCTTGTCATAAAATAGAGAAGCGTATAAGAAGGTTGCTCACATCAAGGCTAAGAGAGAGCATAATAGTTTCTTCCTTTCTGGGAATGGTTTGTGGATTTCAATGTGAAATAAGAGTTGTGTGGGGCTTAACTTTAATCTCACTGGCCGGTTTCCGCAGGTTTCCCTTTCTGTCCTGTCGCTTGACCTTTCCTGGGCTAATATCTGTGTTTTCCATTCTTTGAGGATATTGCCTTTCTGCATCAGCGTCCAGCCTGCTTTGCTGAAATTATATGGTAGCAGTTGGTCTTTTCTTTCTGTGCTTTCCACACTGATCTGTGACTGCCGACACCATGATGAAAAAGAATTTTGGAATTCAGGTTGGATTTTTGCATTTATTGAGTTTTGGCCTCTTAGAGGAGAAGCCTACGAAGCTACAAATGTTTTGTTTCATTTAATCCTCATTTTGGTGAGAAATGATGCCGCAGACATTTGGTCTGTGGAAATTGGTCTGCGTCAGTAACGTGATAGAGAACGGAGGGCACAGAGTGTAATGACAACATTTAACACGTAAAATACTCAAAGCCCTACGCAAGCAGGGGTTACTCATCCTTATCGTCCCTGTAAGGTAAGATAGAGACTGTAAATGGTGTTAAACCAGAGATGATCCTGGGAGTATCTGTCAGTATGATGAATGAATTTATAGGTGGTTACCAAGAGCCCTTCTCAGAGGGCAGAAACTGTCGGCATCTGTGGTACATTATATTGATTTTGCATTTACAATAATGACCAAAGGGTGGCTCCCCATCCCCACAGTAAGTCTGAAGGCACCAGAACAAATACTGTAAGATACAGAAAGTTTAAACGAGTTTGCAATATTAACACTGCCATTCTGAGTATGTTTTCTATCTAATCACTTTAGAGCCTATTTTAGTGTAATCTCTGTTTGTTTTGTTTTGTTTTGTTTTGTTTTGTTTTGTTTTGTTTTGTTTTGTTTTGTTTTTCCCCAAAAAAAGGAGAGTGGAGTTTGGAAAAGGAGTCTGGATTTTGTGAAATGATAGAGATCATGCATTCACAGCTTTAGAATTGCTATCCCAATTATATATAGTATGTGGATTGTTTTCTAAAATATTGACATTACCAGTAAGTATATGTTCTTATGTCCTATGAATATCAGTATTTTCTAACGTTTCTTTTTTTTTTTTTTAATTGTAATTAGAAGAGTGAAACATGTTTAATTTCTGAAATACAAGCTGTCTCTTATAAAGAAGAGGAATCACTGCAATTACTGTATTTTTCTAGTGGAAGGCAGATCAGAGAGTGTCCAGTCTTAGTGTATCCATTTATATGATGTGCTGTGCATTTTCAACTCATATATGCTTCACCTGGAGAGAAAGATGTTCAGCACCTGAGCAAAGATGTTTATTTGTATAAATACGTGTTTGTATAAATACCAACAAACCTGTTTGTTGGTACTTATACCATTTTTTAAGATTCAGCAGTGAATACAAGCTCTCTGAATCCTCCTTCCCTCACTCCATTTTTCAGTTGTAATTTATGATTATTTGATCCGTTGTTGATTCGCCACTCTCTGATATTTTCCAGATGTTTTTAAGGGTGTGCCTTGTGATAAGACACCCTTTATAAATAATTTTCAGAAATTAAAGTAGTTGACTCTGACTCACTGTCTTCTGTCTCTGAAGATTTTACTCAGCTACAGCTCTGTCATTTTTTCTGCCAACATGCTGCTGTAACGCTGCCCCATATTAGCCCTGATCACGATATTATCCTCTCTGAGCACCCCAGACTGGTAGCACTCTTGGATGAGGCTGAGCTGATCATATAATAGCATATGTTGTACTGCAAGTCCCAAATTCCTTTCCCAGGACAAACCTTTAACACACTGCTCTACTTACAGTGACTCAACGTTGACATGAGATTTGTCAGTCCACAAATCACTGCAGAAATCAGATTTCTGATGCAACTGTCAACCTTCTCTATGCTGGAAGCTGCCTGCCTCTTTTGGAGTTATACCCGACCCTTCTTGTTCAAGATTCCTGTGAACGAGTGCAAGTCAAGTAATAAAGACCCCCTACTGTAGGGAATTCCTGGGAATATTACACTTCAAAATTAAAATTAACTGCCGTGTAGGTTTTGATCTTCCCATTCCTCCCCTTTGTAAGACCCCATCGAGTTATCCAAGAACGGACAGATCCATCCATGTTTCTGTGTGCTGTTTTTTCCTCAGATGTTTTCCAAGGCAAGGTATCTTTTTTCTCCATTCACCTTCTAGAATTAGAAAAACCTAAACCACTCCTTCAAAGAACCTAGCTAATTTTCAGTTCTTGCATCTTCAAAATGACTTGGCCTATAAACTTTCTGGTTTGCTTTTATTGCTCACGCTTTGAAAAAAAGATTTTGTAGAATTTTGAGTACTTTCTTCTACTTGGTGAGTATTCACAATATAAGGGATTTACACAGTGTAAGGGTAGGGAAATCTTATCTTCAGCTCTTCAAGGATGCAACTTCAGCACGCAAGGTCTGAAAGAAGTGGCATTACTTAGTCTTTGGAACTTAAGACTAATTTCAAGATTTACATTATTCACTGAGGTTAAAACACTTGTAACTGAATAGTGGTTTGGGAGGTGATGTTAGAAGGGCTCTGTTTTCATCTTTGGATATTGTTATTTCAATTTTTTTTTTTCTACTAGGAATATTATGTATATCCAGGATCACACTGTATTGCCCTTTTAGTTGGTTGTAAGGGAAATTTTGCCCTTTTACTGGTAGGGTCTTGATTTACTGTGAAGACCAGCACTGAGTCATTTGAGAATGTGTATTTTGCAGTTGTAAATTATCGATTGATGATAACTGCTCTGAAGCCCGTAAAAACATGATTTTGGGTGGTAGGGATGGAGATAAAGTCAGAAAACAGATGCTTAGGAACAGCCATACTCTAACCTCCAGGCATAAGCAATTTTCAAATGCAGAACCAGGCAGAAGTTTTAAAAGGTTTTAAAATAACAACTCCTTTTTCCCTCTTCCCATCTCTCCCCCTGCAACTCAAACCCTTTCAACCACAATAATTTGCGGCAAGGCATCTGTGTATTTGAAAGAAAATGTTAGTGGTGAGGTAGGAATGCACTGCTTGGGCAGGTGATCCCTTATCAGAACTACTACTTGGCAGACCAAGACGCCTTCCTTCAGCTTTTCTGGATGACTCTCTGACTGACATTTATGACTCTTTAATGACATGTTATCTGCTAACGTATGTATAATGATAGGTGAGGCAGGGAGAGGAATCACAGAAGGCCTATTGTGTACCTAATAGCAAATGAACAATAGGCATGTGGTTTTTTTTTTTTTTTTTTTTTTTTAATAGGGCCTGATCCAAAGCCTTTTGATGTTAATAAAAAGAACCGGCTTTGAATTAGGCACATATTTCAGTGAATTAGAT